TCATTCTAATATGTTGATTTGCTGCTCAAGAAACATTTCTTATTAAGCATTGATGCATTTTTTTTATTATTTGACAAAGTTCAAAAGAACAGCAGTTATTTGAAATAGAAATCTTTTGTAACATTATTAAAAAACATCTTACCCCAAAATTTTGAAAGGTACTGTATAAGTATGACATGTTAATACAGTATTTAATTAAATAATAAAAAAAGACAATGTCCATTTGTGCATGGCAGGTTGTAGACCTGTATGTTTTCACCAACATACCTCATTACCAATTATTTCACAAACATATCTTTGAAAACGACATAATATAAAATTATACTTGTCAATATTAAAATTTTGTAAGTGCCTCAAACAAAGTCCTTGAAAAATTATTTCAAATATCTGATATCACTAGTTGGAAACCCAAATCCTGTGATTATTTATTTCTCAACAGCATTTATTTTATTTGTGTACCTTGACTCCCAGAAATTGTGTAAAGCCAGCCAATCAGATTAGAGCTTGTCAGAAAAAGAAAGTGTTGGCATTTTTGCATGTAATATTCATTACATAGTGACTGTCAAGACCATGGGCATCTGAGGTTACAGCCCATGAGGAAACTTTCTACAGCAACAGTCCAGTACAAATCCCTACACTGATCTCTCAGTCTAGCGTGAAGCACAGGTTTCTGACATGTGCTTGACAAAAGATTTCTTTCTAAAGAAATAAATTCCTCTGGGGACAGGTTGCTGTGATTCAGAGGCATCCAGACAAAGCTCTATGTGGGGACAATAATTTTATAGAAACCGGAAAATAACAGTGAACCCGCCAGCAAATGGAAAGCTGCAGTACTTATTCAAGAACTTCTTCAAAGAAATCAAACAAATCTAGAGTTACACAAGACATATTTTATGGCAACAGCTATAAAGCAGCTCACCTACAAATCAGTGTTACAAAAGACGCCTTACAAGGGGCCCTGCTAAACAACAGAGGCAAAAGAACAGGGTCTAAATGAAGAAAACAACCCCTACTAACATCTACGATACCAACAACAGCCCACAAGTGCAAACAACCTCATTCAAACTCCTTTTACTTACAGGAAAACATCCAGTCTTGTCTCCTGTCAGGAGCTTTGAAGTAACCTGAAAACAAAGACTAGGAAAGCCTTTTTGATCTGTGTGCAACGCTGAAAGAGGAAGTGGATGTTGTTGATGAAGCAAGGCAGCTGACCACCGAGGGCCAACAGCAGCATGAGGATTTACATCAAGCCCACCTCCTCCTTTCACGCAAACTTTACTGAGACAGGGGCCCAGTCTTCTCAGGAGACAGAGACAGAG